AAAAAAAATCGCGAAAAATGTGAAATAATGCGTCATAAAAGTAGCAAAATGTAAACAATGTAGTTACTTTGACTTCAATACAAAATTCTAAATCTCTTCAACTGTACAAACTGCAAAAACGCAGCAGATGAAATATGCTTCAGATAATTAGCAACGAGTAACGAGCTAAAAAAGTATACCAAAAATAAAAAAGCTTTTGAGGAATAAAAATAAAAGCATTTGTCAGGCATAATGGGCCTTTAAGTGATTTTATGTAGACTATTAAGGGAATACTACTTAGCGGTATATGACCTGGAATTAATTTCTTGTCTCGCGTCGACGAACGGGATGCGAAGCGAGACGCGAGATTTCGCGAGACGCGAGATTTCAGCGAAATGCGAAACGAGTCACGATATTGTATCATTCAATATCAACCGTTTATGGTGTTCCGTTCGGACATAAGTAACATTTTTGTCTCCCTGAACAGCTATGCACAATGGTACAAAGGTGAAATTGAGATGGTACGATGATTAAAACACGATGGCACGATTGTGAAATCACGATGATCGATGACACGATAGAGAAAATAATATCGCGTTTTCATCATCATGCCATCACAGTTTCATCATATCGTACCATCGTATTTTCACCATCGTAACAACGTCTTTCATCATGGTACCATCACACTTTTATCATCGAGCCTTAGCTGTTTCACCATCGTACAATCGTTGTTTCACCATAGTACAATCGTTGTTTCACTATCGTACAATCGTTGTTTCACGTTCGTACCATTGTGTTTTCACCATCGCGTTTTCAACAACGTACCATCGTGCCATCGCGCTGTCACCATTGTACCTTCGTGAATGGGATTTAGTACGTTTCAGTGTAAGTCAATCAATTTCTTAAATAAGAGATATTATAATTAATAGTTCACTGTATGTTTTCATAAAGAAAGCATATTAAGCAAACCTATTGATGATTACACTTGAGGTAAAACGGCGAACCTCGATTCTAAAAAAGAATTTCTGCCGTGGGGAAATATGTGACAAATAATTCATAAAAAATGACATGAGACAAATGTGCTTTCTTGTCCCTTAAAAACACATGAGACAAATGTGCTTTCTTGTCCCTTAAAAAACTTGATCGGAGCACATTTGTCACACAAATGAGTTTTTTGGGGTAGACATTTGAGGTCCCATTTGTCTCATGTGGGACAAATGCGACCGCATCGGTCTTACGTAAGACAAATGTGCTCCGAGACAAATGTGCTCCTACAATGCACACCAATTTGTATTTTACTTAAAATTGTATCTTTGTACTAAATATTCAGTTTAGATTTATTTTCGTCCCTTTCAGATAAGTAAAATCATCAACAATTGTTATAGTTACATGTAATATCACCAATGGTACTTATATACATGTTTTCATATTCAAAAGTATAGGTTTTTTGGGGTTTTTTTCCAAATGTTAGGAAATGTTCTTAATTTCATAACTCATTTTTAATCAGAACAAGGTTTGCTTTTTTTACAATTCTTAATGGAACTCATATTTTAATGATATCCGTGCTAAACATAACCGTTTATTTGAAAACTTCAAAGGAAAAAGAACACGCTTGAGAAGGTTATGATTCTTAAAAGAAATAACGTTTTTTTTTCTCTTTCGATTATCATCAAGTTTAAGGAGTATATTTTATAAATTGTACCATTCTACACGTGCTCGTAAATTAACATCTTAACAAAACTTGTTATAAGTAATAGTGCAGTAAAAATTTTAACTAGGTTAAAAGTCTTACGTTAAAATATTAATAATGAAAATATTTCTGTTCCGCCCGTAGAATTATCGGACTAACTATAGAGTTTCTTTATCGTTAGATGTATTAGAGTAGAGTTAATTTAACAGAGTAACTATATTGCTAGATTTGTCAGAGTGATTTTGTCGCTAGATTTATTAGAATGAGTTATTGCTAGATTCATTAGAATAATTTATTGCTAGATTTGTTTAAGTTTCTTTTAGAGTAACATACAGCTAGATTGCTAGACTTTTCAGAGTTACTGTATTTCTAGATATGTATGTGTAATATATTGCTAGATTTATAAGAATTTCTATATTGCTATATTTATTAGAGTTTCTATATTGCTAGATATGTCAGAATTTCTTTATCACTGGATTTTTGAGAGTTATATATTGCTAGATTTATTAGAGTTACTACATTGCTAGATTTATTAGAGATACTATATTGTTAGATTTCTTAGAGTTACTGTATTGCTAGATTTATAAGAATTTCTATATTGATAGATTTATTAGAGTTACTATATTGCTAGATTTGTTAGACTTTCTTTATCGCTGGATTTATTAAAGTAATTTATTGCTAGATTTATTAGAGTAACTACATTGCTAGATTTATAAGAGTTACTATATTGCTAGATTTGTTTAGACTTTCTTTATCGCTGGATTTATTAAAGTAATATATTGCTAGATTTATTAGAGTAACTACATTGCTAGATTTATTAGAGTTACTTTATTATTAGATTTGTTATTAATATTTTTCACATTCTATTCTTCACATATATGATGACATCATCCATTGTATATTGTTTTAGTTACGTTACTGGGAAATGTCTTTAAAGTCTTTTATAAAGAAGATATGGTGTTAAAATTGTACAAAGCATTTTCTGAACATATACATTCTAGCATGACAAATGTTCCTTCGGCCGGACTTAAAAGAAAAAAAAAGTTGTATATTTAGTAGGAATAACACGAATCTGCGTTAAAACGCGCTTTCTAGTATGTCCATAAAACACTGTTTCATCAATATTTTAGTTCCAGACAGCTATATGCCTATGTGGTATAATATATAAAATTAAGATAAAGTGATGTAAACGAATGGAGCTGCGACATGACGTAACATTTTATATGGTCATTAAAAAGGTCACGATAAATGTGCACAACATATGGTAACATACTTGTATATAAAGTAATTTACTTGCTATTACTTATTTACTAAAAAGTACGATTGTCACGTGTCGTATATTTACAGACAAACCTGTGTTAAACCCACCTCCGGAAAAAGATCACCTTGTGAATAAAAACCACTATTCAACAAACTTTCGTTCATTAACTAGAGCAAGATACTTCGAAATAAATGACCTGTCTATAAAGGACTACGAGTCGCGTCACGTAAAAAACCAATTAAGGTTTGCGACCAGATGTAGACCATCTGCGCATTCCGCAGTTATGATCAGTATCATGCTGTTCCTAATCAGTTTCTGCTAATTGTTATTCGGTTTGTTATAGCGAACAGCATGGATCCTGATCAGACTGCGCGGATGCGAAGGCTGGTCTGGATCCATGCTGATCACAAACCCATTATGTTGGTTTTGTCGTGACGCGGCTCATATTACTTAGTATTTCCTAGGAATGGTCATTATTGAAAGGTTTGATTGTATATTTATTATTATTCATATGTGTACAGAAGTACATAATATATATCCATATACCTTTTTACATACAAATTAAAATCTGAACGATTGTAGATAACGTTGTTAAAAAAACTAAATTATTCTATTTTTGTTTCACTATAACATTGTTACTGTCTATTCCAATAAACAACACCATTAACTACTTTTTGTTCCACATTTTCTACTCGAAATTACAAAATTATACTTGTATGTTACTTTTACTCTTGTTGTTGTTGTTGTTTCGTTTTTTGGTGTTTGTGTTTTTTATCCATTGTAATATATTAACAATGTGTGAAGCAAACGTGTGGTACATTTTACAAAGCTCAAGTTTACGATATTGAATAGTATTTTAGTATTTCTATGTTATATTTTCTCCTTTATTCGGGAGGGGAAGGGGCAGGGGTGGGAGGAGGTTTTAAGTGCATAAATGTTGATCAACGTCTGGAAAGGGGATAATTACTTGTCAGATTGACATCATGGCATGTTTTTATTACATAAAAAACTAAAATTCCGCATAGACTTTAGGTATGACATGCTTTTATGTGTAAATGAAGGACGTTGGGGGTATTTCTGTATTTTACAACGGTGAATTTTATCAATAAGTGTGCATTTCGAACACTTGTAACAAAATACGTCGGTATATATTATTTTATCTGATATACGTATTTATGTTACTTATACGACCGGGTATGCAACATGACACTACTATTGTATGATTTTATAATACTGCATGTTTGTAACGTAGCTTTCCATTGGATAATCATAACGTTTATATAGTTTCATATACATGGCTGCTGTCAATTTGTGCAATAATCTCATTTTTTTCTCTCAAAAGGATGAAGTTTGCTCTATTACAAATTCGTTATAAAGATTTTTTGACAGGTTATATGTCCCTATATAAACGGTTGTTTACAATATAACAAACACCTATATAGGGCCATATAACCTGTCTAAAATCGTTATCACTAATACTATAAAGTACAAGAAACGAGGTTAAATAAAAATTAAAAATTAATTGGCACTGGGCTATTCAAAATCATTAAGACAATGCTAAAGAAAGATATGGCAGTTATAGAACATCGCATGTCCCCCGCATTTTTAAAAATTCAAGTCGATATCTCTATTATTTTGTGAGTCATCTCCGAACAAAAGTTAAGTATGAAAATGTTTTCAAAATGTATGTGTTAAAGTTCTAAATGTTTGGCCAATATATAACATTATACATTGTACGAGAAACTGGTATATATTAATAAAAATATACAACAAATATTTGTAGAAGAGAAGTGTATAATACGAAAATAATAAATGAATAAAAAAAGAAAAAGTAAAAATAGAAAAACAACAGAAACTTCGACGTAAATGAAAAATAAAATAACAGTAATAATAACATAAAAAAACAGACTAAAATGCAATGCAATAATGTTTCACAAAAGACTCATGTTCTAAAAATTGGTATAAAAATACAATAACTGCTCGAAATAGGAAATGAAATTGACAAACTACCTGGCTTCAGAAAAACAAAAGTTTCTAGACATTGAATAAAAGATTAGAACAATTGCTCACCCTTGAAAAAAAGTGGAGCAAATGTTCAACCTGTAAAGACATATAACATTTTGTTCTACATTGAAAAGAATAGGACAAAGTCACGTGATTTATATAACGTTTCTTGTAGAGTATACGGAAGACCGTTGGGGACATTTCAATTTCATGAATTCCCGGTTACATCTCCGAGAATTCACAATTTTAACTTCGTGAATTCACGTTTTTCTACATACGGAATTCGCGACGGATGTAACATTTAGTTGAAATCGTGAATTCATGAATTTGAAATATTGAATTCATGAAGTTGAAATAGTGGATTCGTGAATTTGAAATATTGAATTCATGAAGTTGAAATCGTGGATTCATGAATTTGAAATTGAAATATTGAATTCATGAAGTTGAAATCGTGAATTCGTGAATTTTGTATGTACAAGAAGTTAAAATGTCACCACCGGTATTTCATACGTTTAACATAGATGTGTTTAAAATATTAAATATTACGGAACTCTTGCTCGTTTTCTTTTTCTCAATTTAAATGGTATTTCTACGAACAGTCAAACCTGGATTAAAGACCACCTCCAAATAAAGATCACCTTGCGAATAAAGACCATTTCTCAACAAACTTTTATTGATTAACTAGATAACTCCAAATAAAGACCCCTTGTCTATAAAGGCCATGCTCAGACTGACCTTTGGATGGCCTTAGTACACTGGTTTGACTGTATTCTCAATCATTCGGTTTTTAATTTTCCTCGTGTCATTAATTCCAGATGTTCGAAAATGTAACACTCTGCCATTCATATTGATTTGTTTTTCTAATTTCTATTCTTTCCTTTCAAATATAAATACCAACCTGGTATGCATAGTATAGATTTATTGACCTTCGCCATGAACTCAATTTAAAGCCATGCGGCATTTGGCCCCGGGTCAGTTTAAGTATAGAAATTCAGCACACAAATAAAATGTAGAGGTCCTGTCTATAAACATTTTAAAAGAAAAGCTAATGGAATTTAACGGTCTTATTTGACAGGTAGTCTCCGATTACAGGTTTTATAAGATAAATATTCAGATTAGAAAATGAATGTATGGCTACTATTTTGCAACAACATGCGGACTTATTGAAAGACTTACGTACAAATACAGTTTTCATTGTATGAATAAAAAATAGCATATACTTACTTTAGCTGATGTCGAAGAATACGGTTCGTCAAAAAGCGCCCAGATTTTTGGTTGTATGCGCTGCCAGAAGTTCAGTTCACCAGCCCTATGCTGCTCTTCCCAGCCAAATTTCTTCATAATATCATCCTCGGTAGGCTTATCAGTATCCAGGTCTAATCTGTCTAAAATTCCTAAAACATCTTGTGTGTCTCTATGCGTTGTGTATGTCATCCAGCAACAGGGCTCCACCTGGTTCGAATCTAAGCCCCAGAATTCTAGCTCCTCCTCAAACAGCGGGCCGCACACGTCAGTTGGATAGTGGAGCTTTCCTGATCGATAATAGTTCAATATTTGGGCAAAAACGCCCGGATGTCGATCAAAGAAGTACTCATTGAGTACAGGGTCATAGTTCGCCAACGCTTCCGTCAGACGAGAAAGTCTTGTGGCGGGAATTTTCTTTAACGTGGCCTTGTACGTCTCGTGACGTATACCGCCGACGTTTATTATGACGCGATTATCCGCGTCTTGATTGTTCATACTCATCTTGAAGAGTAAATTATGTGGTAATACCTTTGACTACTTTCAACGACAACATTTTAAATGGAAATATAAACTTGTATAATATGTCACGAAGTATTTTCATGCATTTATAGCACATTAGATATTTGCCGCTGAAATGCAATGGTTAAAAAAAACTCCTCCCCAGTGTTCAGACACAAAAGCTGACTGGAAATATTTTAACTTACGACCTCACTAAACAAGCTTCAATCAGACGTGATTGAGATTTTTCTCCAGCCGTTTTATACAATATCACATATATGTATGTATACGTTAGTGATCAATGAATACAATTCCCAATATTTTGTAGGATGAGGGCGAATCTCTGAAGTTTTTATATCACAGTTTCAGAATATAATCCGTTCAATGATTAAATATTCAATTTTATGGTAAATTCCAAACAAAACAGCGGTCCTCGATAACATTAAAACTCCGAGCCTTTTGGTTCATAAGTCCACCTAATACAAATGCATCAATTTACCAAGAATTTTTTTACAAGCCTTCTTGAACAACATCAAAAACTTTTTTGTTATGAAAATTATTCAGATATTTCCTAAAACCCGTTTATATCTATTCGTCGCTTAATGATTGAAATAAACGTGCCACTTTTAGTAGTCTTCTACCATTTCGATATTATACCTTAATTTTATATTATCACAGATTATTAGCGTTCTTTTGAAGACAAATCAATACATCAGACGACATCTATTGTCACAGCTTTCAAAAGCGACTTAAATATTCCAACTGAATAGTATTTTACTAGATAATTATATTTTTTAACAGATCCAGTTGCAATATGCACTCCGCTCCTTGTTTTTGCATGTACTATTTCCCTGTTATAATAATCACTAAAAAGTATTGTATTCCAAATTAATCTATATATAGCTATATGCAAATTTACTTAATGTCATTTTCGGGAAAACGGTTTTATTTACACTCCGATAAAATGATCCGAATCGCACAATTATACAGAGCGTCTGTGCTTTGGATATTTACATTTGTTACTGTAATCATAACGCTTCCATATTGCGGATTAATTCAATATCCCAGCATGCTTTTGTATTCAACTTGCAGCCTGTATAAAACCCGCAACGACATCAATTCAATTAATTAACACCATGGCTATTATATTCTATTGCCTGACCAAAACATCCTCTGTTACTATGCATGTATTGAACATCGGAGATTGAAGAGTACGCAACCGGAAGTTGATGTTACATCCGTTTTGAAGAGTGAAAAAAGGAACCGGAAGTAATAATCACTCCGTTATATGACCTATAAATTGAACAAGAGGTACCGGAATTTAACGAGGTCAATTCTGAGTTTCATCATTCGCAATGTTGATGTTCTCACAAGCATCTGAAAGTAAACAAAACAAATGTTATCTATCTGTACATCTTGTTTGCTCATCGACTTTATATATAATGCTATTTAAAGCTAGCCATTCCATATACTGGTGAAAATATACATGTAATTGCATTAAATTTTATTATTCAAATTGCAAAGACGTGCGCAAGTAGACTGTATTTTTAAGCCAAAAGAAATATACATGAATGTAATAGAGGTAAAGCAAGGAACTCGTTATCCTGAAAGTCTTATTCTAATGATGAAATTTTTATATTTGTATATTGAAAACCCTTGATATTATTTAAATCTCATTATAACGAATTAAAATCCTGCCATATTATATGATGTATTATTTCTCTTTACATTTAAAAACTCATTTTGAAACACTCGTTCTATTGTTAGGTTTATAAAACAAATTGTTATGGAAAGATAATAAATTATCACAACAGGGTGTCTTAACAAAACTGAGAAATAAATTTAACCATTATTGATTGCTGCTATGTGTTTAAAATACTTCATAGTTTATTGTATAAGAATAAAAGAACTGTCCCACAGAATTTGAACTTGCTCACGACGATCGATGTACCCAATCGTTCTAAGTATGTTGAGGGAGGGACAACAATAAGCAAAAGTGAAATTTTGAAAATATCGCTAAGAAAATTCTTATTGAATTCAATAGTGTTGCCGCTTTAAATATATATTGAATGTCGTAAAATAACGGGGAATCCTCATTGTAGAAATATCGGTAAGAAGACCTTGCAGCAATTGTGAAGCACATCTGGTTAGATTATAGACAGGTGGCAACGACACAGCTTGTAAGACATTCGTGTCACATACATAGTGTGCCATATTGCCAGTTATACACTGAATATATTGCACACCGTCAGTTTTTACAGTGTATATCTTTGTATATAGTGTAAGTCTCTCTCACACTTCGGAACGTGCACGTCGTGAGGAGGCACAGTGTACCGGAAAGAAAATGTGTTTAAGATTCGAGCGCCGTTTATGTATATAGGACATAAAAACATGTAGTCGATTGCAGAGCTGCATTACTGGTACTGGTACTGGTACTGCAGTACGTACTGCAGCGATTTTGCAAGTACTGGTACTGATACTGAATTACTTTTACAAAATTTTGCTACTACTGGTACTGGTACTGCATTACTGTCTTGAAAAGTGGTACTGCTACTGCATTACCCAGTACTTTTGGTTTTGATAAAAATTAAAAATAACATCAATTTTTGTCATATAATAAAGCTGTAAATTACATTAACTATATTTTATTTTTGTGAAAACGTAAGTTATCAAATCTAAAGATAATTTGCTGCAACATTCCTTCCAAATGTTAACATAGTATTTATCATAAAAAGCACCAAAGACTTTAAGTAATCAAAGTGCTGCAGCACTGAATGCGACGGACATGCAACCGGAGAGACACCAAGGCTTCTTTTAGAAAAACAAAACAAAATAAAAACAAAACACAAAATATATAACAGAGAAAATTTGTTCCATACAAGTTCGAGATTTGTAGAGCAATATATTTTGTGTCCCAAATTGATATAATTCAGATTTTCTACTTTCAAGCACTTAAATACAGAATGAAATTTATGCCTAAAAACTCTGGTCAAACTTGTAAATCAGTGTCCTTATCGATTTATTCTAAGAAATGATATGTAAATAGAAAAAAAAACTATCAACGAAATATTTCTAGAATAAATCCAGGCAAATAAACTTCAAACATAATACATTGTACATTTGAGAATGCTATTTAGAATTGCTTCGTGTTATATCATAGTGGGCATACAGACAATAAAATATAAGTCATTTGTATTTTTATTTCTCTTGGATATGTCTCATTAAAAAAAAATTGGTTAAAATCATTAGCAATTAATAGTGTATTTCTTAGATTTTTTTATTTACAAGGTAAAGATGTAGAGGCCAGAGCACATCGTTTTTATTTTAATTTAAATGTCACTTAAGCACTACAGTGTTTAGTTGTCCTTTTCAACTTCACACTAAATTCCATTTTCAACTTGTTTGCTTCTTACAATTGTATAGCATTTCTAAAACTATTGCATTACAATCCGCTGGTTGTACATCCTAATCGCCTGTCCAAAAATCAGAACAGGTAAAGCAGAATCTATTTTTAGAATATCGAAGGTTAACTCATATCATGACCTAGTAAAATATGTAAACAAACCACAAGAATCGGAAGTAGAACTGATACTATAACTTCCTTACCATGATTTCAAGACTACATGGCGGTAAAGTGTCTTACATGCATTTTCAAAAATAGATATTTATACTAGCCATTGAACTGTATCTAATATATTAATAACTGCTGAATATTCAGCTAAACCCGCGGTATGAGTCACGAAAATAGTTCTTCTTTTATTAATGCGCGAGTTATCCTAGAGTCACGAAAAACTTTTGATTTGTTAATAATAATGTTTTGTATAATGTAGAAATATTTATTTCCTACTAATAATGTCTTGGAACTCAGAGGTTACACTTTATTGTAGTATAATTTGCTGTCCTACTTTTTCGACAGCGGTAAATCGTTTCAGCAGTAATTTGCATATTGCGCAATAATACTACGGGACTACAACGTTTTTATCAATAATATACGTTCATATTTTAACTTGGATAACTTAATTTGAAATTGAAAAGGCTTAATATGGAAGACATTAAGATATCCAGACAAAGTATGGGAGTTTTGAAGGATCAAATTCATGTACTATTTCTTGGGCTGTTAATTGGTTTAGGACACATTGCGCGAGTGTAGCCAACGAAATCCCATGTGTAGATGACTTAGCTCTGAACGCGCCTGAGGGCGCGTCCGTCGCAAAAATTAAATTAAGATAGACAGACTAAATAAATCTTTACCCTAAAATATCCTTATTAAAATCTTTTATTACTTTGTATTTACTAGTAAAAGAGCAAAATAAACACTATTAATTAACTTCTTCTATTCCAAAAAATCCCATTTCAAGTGAAAAAAGTGATATTGTTTATTATAAGCACCATTAAAAGTTGTTATTTACTTTGGTTTAAATTGAACAGAGGTGTGAAGGTGTGAAAGGCAACAGAAGACTGTTGTGTTTTAAATAAAAGATGTTTGCATTGTATTTATACAGTTGACTGGTTACAAAACAGTTAGATATGACATGAATTTATGTTGTAAATATTGTTTGTAAAAAGTATGTTAAAACTATAAAGTTGTAAATATGTTATGTTAACTTTAAAGCAGCACGCCTCCAGAGTCCAGATTCATCCGAATTTTCATGACAATTTTGAAAAAGTATTTAAAGGTAAAATATTGTTAAATGAACAAAGATAGTACTTGACACATTACAATCGGCACTTAAAATCCATGTTAATTACCAAAAAGAGGTCAAATTAATCATGCATAAATAGCCCCTACTCCGTGAGTAACGCAGTAGAAATATGGTGATAAATACTACAAAATACAGTCATTAATTGCACATAAGATATAAATCTTTAATTTGTTTACTTTTGTCAAAGTTTTGTAATTTTTTTCCAAGTTTAATTTTCTTGAAATATTTTGGGTCATCTGGAGGCATGCAGCTCTAAAGTAAATTATGATTTTATTTCTTTGCTGAATAATATTTTCAATTATTTGTTTGACACTGTATTTATTCAAACTTTGATGAATATATAAAAGTAATGGTACTGATACTTAATTACTTCACCAAAATAAGTACTGGTACTGCAGTACTGAGCTAAAATCTAGTACTGGTACTGGTAATGGTACTGCATAATTTGCCAAGTACTGGTACTGGTACTTAAGTACTACACCCTTAGTACTGATGCAGCTCTGGTCGATTGTGATATTGAAGAATAATAACGACAAGACAATATCTGTTATAGTTGATCATGAGATTTTTATTGATATATTAATTCGATGATATTCAAAGTATTGATCAATTTAAAAAGAAAGGGTTCTGTGACGTCATATCATCGGGTGTGAAAGACATCGACAGTGGTATCACGTGATACTTCACGGGTCAATGTTTAAGCAGAATTATTTTGATACTAAAAGAAGGGTTGTGCGCTAACTATGGTCACAGTAATTCGACCAGACTATGCAAAAACATACAATGGTAAGACTACAGTGACGTCATGAATTTACTCTAATCGAACCCTAACCATATATATCACCGAAACTGGACATGCGCAGTCCATCGATTACAGCCAAACAATAGTTATCGCCCGAACCCTGCCAAAATAACTTGCCAAGTTCGCATAATGTCGTAGGGATACATTTTATCGGGTGATTTGCATATTCCATACATGCCAAAGTAACCTTTTTTAATCGCTAAAACTATACTCGTGGATGTCATAAATTGCTATTTTTTCTGTTTTCCGATAATATATTATCACTTTATTGACGTATAATGGTAAATATACAGCGGTTAATATAACATGGCACTTTTGCTTTTATCGTGGACAACAAAAGGGATATCTGATACAAAAAGGATGTTAATATAAACTTTCACAGTTTTATCCTATCATGATTTTTGTTAGACAATGACGGTCTTCTCAGGCCATTGACTGATTACATTATCGGAATAGTGAAAATAAGGCAGTAAATAAATGATATGCACGAGAATTGTTTTGCGTTTTTATTAAAGGCACATAACGCCTCAGAAATCCATATTTTTCAATTCTTGGGAAATGTCAAACGTCTTTTAATAATGTTTTAATAATGGATTTAGAGCATATTAGATGCTAAACAACTGAAGAAAGTTGTTCTGAATTTTGCAGGAATGCGTTGTTAAGGTAGCATAATGTAAACAAAGTAGTATTTTGACTTCCATACAAAATGCTCATGCACTATGTTTATACCCATTACCAATAGAGCCAAAGAAGTAAACATAGCTCATCTATAAGGCAAATGTTTATTTTTTAAAAACTGTAACAAGTTACCAAAAAAAAAAAAAAAAAAAAAAAAATAAAAAAAATAATAAAAATAAAAAAGTTTTTGAGAA